ATGGATCAATAATAAATAAGAGTTTATTAAGTTAATCGCGATTAGCTTTGATTATGATTTGTAAGTCAGATAGAACGCTAAATATATGCAATGATATGTATTTTCACGTATTTCTCTTATTGCTACGAGCATTTCCTACAACATAGCGATGCTTTCTACAATATAACAATGCTTTCCATCGGCACATGTCAAAGCGTTATCAGCGCTCGCATTGTGATATAAAAATGACATCAAATAATTCTCGATTGATACAGATCAATTGCTAATTATGGCAATACGACCATGTAATGACGCCAACGTCATTTCTCTTTTTTCCTCGCACGAGAACATGCTCGAATATATATGCGGTTCTAAACTGGACATGATGTCATCCGACGTTTATACTCGCGAACTCGCTACTTAATAGCACAGCCAACGAAGGACAATGGACATTAAGCCGAGCGTTTCCACGTGGATTGTTCTTCTGTCAGGCATTATGCAATTCTCTGCGACAAAACTGATGAAAATCTTTTCGATTTACGTCAAAAGTCCCTGATGCGTTAATTATTATTTACATATATATATATATATACATATATATATATATATATATATATATATATTTATTTATTTATTTATTTATTTATAATAATATACATATATTAATTTTTTAAGAATGATAAATAATAATAATTAAACATCATGAATCATTTATAGCGATAATTTAATTTTTATATCATTTTCATGTACATGTGAGAGGAAGACAGAGAGAGAGAGAGAGAAAGAGAAAAGCAACTGTTAAATATAACTTATCTTTCTATTTTTTTTCCTAATCGTCATACTTTCGCAATGTGTGTCGAAATTATTTAATCAACAGAGTATCACACCAAGATACTGTGAAACATTCGCGGAAGCATCGTGAAATGGTCGATGCACTTACACGTGGAATGCAAGCGTTTATATCGCGGCACGCGAGAGAGAACGGTTACAGTGTCAGTAATCTCTCTCAGCCAGAAATCATGCCAGCCATAATAATATAATTACAATAACCACGGATATGTACTGTATCGATGTCCCAATGCGGCCTTATTACGCGCTCACCGTTGTGACGTTTATCACGCGAGAAACCACGCGCGATCGCGCGTGTGTGCGATCTTTTTCTTCCTTTTTTTTTTTTTTAATTTTATTCTTTCCTCTCTAGCGAAGCTGCGCGCGAGGTTGATCCATACAAGGTAACGACCAAGGCAGGAGACCGGCTACACCCTGCCGTCATCGTCGCCGTCGATCGCGCCTTCTCTCTCGCTCTCTCTCTTTCTCTCTTTCTTTCACTCGCTCGCTCGCTCGAATTGTGTGCGTGTGCGTGGTGCATGACGATTATATGCGTGCGCGACAGCGAGGAATAACGTAATATTAAATATTGCGCGCAAGGGCGCTTGACCCGCCCATGATGTAATCTATTTTATTGCTCCTGTTACAGAGTAACAGAAGTCTGTATTGTCGATGTAATAAGACATTGTAAAATGCATTAAAAGCCTTCAATTTCGCATGTGTAGAATTTGTGCAATTCATATGTACGTAATTATGGCTTTAGATTTAATATGTGTGTATGTGTATGTATGTGCTGCATGTTCTTCTCCAACATTTTAAATGGAATATTATGAAATAATTAAAAGATAATTACATTATTATTATTACATTAATTATATAAAATAATGTCATAAATATATTTATAAATATTACAACGAAATCGTTTTGGAATCGAATGCGAGTGATATTTCCAAAGAAACAGATAATGATGTAATGCAATTAATTAGATTACGTGAATGGAGATATAATGCCGTATAGTTATACATAGAGTATGCCATTTGTAGTCATTAATTATGCTCGTTGGATTGCGGCGATCGTATACATATGTATTCGTGATTCACTTATCGACTTTCTCTTACGACAGAGTTAGGGTACTCAGGATAGATCTAAGACGATTACTAGGGTAAGATAAGGGTGGAGTAGGCCATTGAAGCTAACGATTTACCACACCATGCTCCTTCAGCAATATTCTTTAACAAGCGATCTCCATCTTATTTTCCAAATGGCTTGATTCCATCCGCAATAAAAATCTCGATACCTTGCAATTTTTTATTTTTTATTACATGCTCATATGCTTTAAAAGTAAAAAAAGATAATTCGATATTTTTATTACACTTCTATTTTGCATTTTCTACCCTATAATTGCAATATGTCTAACAGAATGATTAGGTAGAATATTACTTATATTATTGACTCATCATTTTTAATGAATGAACCATTAATGTTCATCTAAAAATGCACACGTAAGTTTCTTGTATAAAAGCTTAAATGATGGAAAAGATTTTATGATATCAAAGTTGTCATACATATGAATGCTCACACATAAATATAACAGAAATTTTAATAAAAAAAAACATTAAAATAATTCATGCAAATAATATATTAAAAAATAATTAAAATTTTTCAAGAAAGAAAAGCATAATAGAACTTGAAAATTTTTCGAATTTTAATTTAAATTGGCAACTATTTTTATGTGTGTTCTTTCTTTTCTCTTTATATATCTTATTCTATATTTCAAAATTATCAATAATTATAATATAAGTCACAAAATTCTATATGCTGTTTAGAGACGATGGTTCTTTTCCGGTGTCACCTACTCACGAATGATCATCTGCTTATTTATTCAATCACGTGTATGAATATAAACGCTTATATGTATATAATGTAACTTCTCTTAACAGGAGGATTTGCAGTTGACGTGTTTTTGAAGAGGCGTTACATATGGCGAGTCAACGGATTTTATATGGAAACGAGACAGGAGATTGCCGTTAAGATAATGTAACATTGCGTGAATATAATCGTGGACGAATACAATACTTCAAAACGAATCTGCATTCGCGATTTTTCGAGACGATTTAACTGTAAAATTCTCATGTCATCCATCGATATATAACTGAGCATTATAAAAATATAATAAATTAGATATATAAGAAAAATAAATAAATTAAAAAATTATTTTATTTAATTAAATTCTTATTTATTTAAATTTTTATTTTATATAATTCTCTCTCTCTCATACATACTATAAATTTTTTAAATAAATTTATATTGTTTTCTATAAAATATTCCTAAAATGCACTGAATCTCTGTGAAAGAATCAAAGAGAATTATTCAATATTTGCATCCTTTGCGTAGCCTTTTAATCATAATTACATTTTGTCCTTCGAGAGAATCTATTATAGAGATTATTGAACTATGATTTAGAAAGCGCTAATTGTTAGGGTCTCTAATGAATGTCGCTTGTCTTGGGAAAAGCCGACAATATTGGCGTTGCCAATCGAGGCGTCTGTTTGCGAAGAGCATCTGCATTCTTGCCGGCCACGCCTGCGAATCGATACGCTGCAAGCGCGCGTATCTCGCACGAGATGCACGTCCGGAAATCTCGTAACGAAACATCAGCAGCATATCTGGAACAGTAGCTTTCTTGCACCGAGGCATAATTATCGATGTCTTCAATGTATCGAAGATCGCTCGCGCACTAATATCCGCAACCGATCGAACGGTCCCCTCCTTTTTGTGCCTCTCTAGACGTTAGATAAAGAAACCTAGCTTCACCCACATTCGTCAGTCAGGACCGGTGCTCTTTCGGGATGTTCGAAGGGCTCCAGAATTTAAAAATTAACGGCCAAAATGCAACATTGTGACGTTATATATAAATCGTCTCGTCATTTTTTGGGGAATTTTGCGCATTGGATCTCATAGTCGAATATCTTAGATTATTAATTACATGACATTTAAAAATAAATTGCAGTATTGTAAATTTGCAAGCATATATAATACAAATTATATAAAAATTTAAATGGTATGCTAAATTTTATAAAAATTTGAATACTATAATTTTGTAAATTATATATAAATAATAATAAAAAACTATGTTTCCCTCCCCCCATATAATTTTTCAATTATCTCTTTTTTATCTTTATTGACTTTTTTTATTAAAACTGTGAATCTCCCTCTCTCTCTTTCTCTCTGTTTTAATCTATAATTTATTCAAACCTTTTCATTATATGCGGCTGACAGTATGAAAGAATGGTTTAAATGTCGTGTGAAACGTCAATTTAATGGTTTTGTTATGTTGAAACTGCACTGAATAAATGGAATTTTGAAAATTTGTTAGGAAACCATGAATAAATAGAAGTTCTATAAATGTGTTGAAAACCATGAAATTCTATTGTATAAAGGAAAAGGAAAGATCATTTTAATTGTTTTGTGATATTGAAACTACACTTATTAAATGGAAATTTTGAAAACTCGTTAGGAACTATAAACCATAAATAAATGGAGAGGATTTGCATTATTAAGAACCATGAAAAAATTCCATTGTATAGAAAAAAACTCCATAGGAAAAGTCACCGGAACGATTAGTACTCATATTTCTCAATCATTATAAAAATAGACAAACTTCCCACAATCTTGCATTCATCAAGAGCGATTAATACGAGGCATCGATTCAGCCTTACATTAAACGTTACATTAAACATTACATTAAACGATTTAACAGAGAGAAAGGTGAAGCGCGTACACGCATAATTTTATCTCGTTTCGACGAAGCCACGAGAGACGTCCATTCAATATTCTCGTAAAGGTACACGCATAATTTTATCTCGTTTCGACGAAGCCACGAGAGACGTCCATTCAATATTCTCGTTAATGAGAATATCTATTGTAGTCAGCAGAAAGATATGTCACGCGGGGCCCCGGACGACGTCGGCCCGAGTCTGATAACGAGCCAGGTCGTAGTGGTTCCTCTTGAAATTCGACGAATCGAAGCCGGCTCGGGAATCGACGTGAACCGACGCGACGCGGCTGCACGCGCAGTTGGCAACGCGGCGTATCGCAGAGGCGGCTCGGCCAATCGGACGCGCGCAACGCACGCGCCCCTCTCTTCCCCGCACCGTGCCACCCCTCCCGGCCGAGAGGCTTGAAAATCTGTAACGGACACCGCAACCGCCGCATACTCGTCTCTGGACTCTCGCGACGCGTTAGTCTGTAATCGTCGAGTCAGTTCGATAGTAATCGCCCGCCGCACCAAGCACCCGAGGGTCTATTATATCGAGAGGTCACCGATAAAGCCCGTACGAGCAACATGAGGGAAATCGTCCACATCCAGGCCGGCCAGTGCGGTAACCAAATTGGAGCAAAGGTAAATCACTTTACGATAAACGAGTCCGCTCATCTTCCTTTGTTCGCGAAGTAGCAAATTCGACCGCGACGGATTTCCCGTCACATTCCATCCTCGAGACTCTTTTTCCGTTACTCGCTCGAGACCTCGTGAGATCGACGCAGAGGGAGAATTCTCGGAAGTAGACTCTATTTCGCCGCGGGGAAAAAATCGTACTTTCTTTGTCGATTCGAGAACGAGAATGGAACGTACCATCTTCTAGATGGTATGCGGGGAAACAATGGCCGGGCCTCGCCCGGCCTCGGCGGTCGAAGACCTATCATGGCGACAAGAGCTCGCCGGCCGGCGAGGATTCTAACGGTTTTTTTTCCCTCTCTATCCTTTTCCTCCGCCGCACGTTCTACCGCGTTCCCGTCGGCCATCTTCTCTCCGCATCGTCGTCTCCCTGTTGCGACATTCCAGCTACTCGGTTACCTACTCGCGCGAGGCGGAAGGATCGGAAGACGCGCGAATCGGACGGATTAATCGCGAGATTAATCGCCGAAAATCATCCGTCATTCGGAACCGGCACCCGAGACCTGGGTGTGGCATATCTCTCTCTCTCGGCGACGGGAGATCATCGGTTTACTCGCGGCGATATCGACCGGCTGCGCGCGCATCTCTCTCTCGTCCCGACGAGTAGCCCTTCTCGCTCTTGGTCTCTTGTGATCCTCTCAAACGTCGATTTGCTAACGTCATGTTTATTTGTTAAATGTCACACGGGAATTTATGACAGAAGATACGCTTTCTAGTACAATGTATTTGACGAGGATCATCCGTATCTCGTTATCTCTTTCCCCTTCCCCGCGTCACCTTCACACTTGCATGCTTCGTTAAAAGTGAATGCACACCGAACGCAAAAAATAGCGCGGACGCCGAATGTTACTCACGAAATAGTCGTCTCGATTTTGATCGCCAACGAGACATTATTACGCGATCGATATCGGCGAAATTTGCCGGAATATTTGATCGATCGCATCGGGAGGCGGAGGGGACGGGACGCGTGAAACGCCCGGTGTGCGCGTCCCTTAAAGCAGATGGAATTCCTGCGCGTCCGTCGGCCGAGCGGCGTCACGATCGCGCCAACTGCTACGCGTTCGTCGCATGATGGCTGTATTTTAAAATTTTTATGCGACGCCGTTAACGGACGCGGCCGGCGGGCTTGCGTTATCGTGCGAGTCGATACGCTCGGACGCTCGATTTCTCGTTAATCGTGCGGATCGGCGTCTTCGTTTCTGCACGCGCTCGAGCCCTTTTTTTCCACCGCATTTCTCATTGATTTATCGACGTGCACTACTATAAATTTATTATTTAGTATTATCGTTATGTATGAATGTTTAGAAAAATATATTTGAGGAAATGTATTAATAATTGCGTATATAATTTTAAGCGGTCGATTTAATTTTAAGAATATTTTTTTTCACGTTGTTTAATGAAAGGAAAGATTTTGGATCAAAAAATGTTCAAAATTAATATGTGTCATAATAATGATTATGTAATACTAATCGCTTTCTGTTTTTATTTTACAGAAGATAACTTGAAATTTTTTTTCTATAATAGGATATTATTAGGAATACCTACTCGATTTATTTGAATAATATTATAAGATTGCACGAGAATGATAAACTGATCAACGTTCCCCGTCATGCTCTTGTAATTTTTAAGGCTATTACGCCAAGTCAATGCCCGTTTCTCGAATTGTCTATCTCAATCAATCTAAAACATCCTTGATATAACATTGTTAATATAACATAAAAATTTTTGGACTTTTTATAGCAAATGTTATGATAATAAAATAAAAAGAAGATAATAAAAACGTTGTAATTGTTAAAATAATTAGGATGGACAAGTTTTGTTTTACAAGAAAATATAATTTTTTGTGTTGTAATTAATTTTACGATACACTTTTTTATTTTCATCTTATCTAAAAAAATGTTTATGACATCGATAACTGAATTATCACTAAGAAAGTGTAATCTGATAAAAACTAAATAACATTTTGTAAGACGCATTTATCAAAAGAAAATTTATCTTGATAAATTTCTTTCTCAAAGATTAAAAAAGTTAAAGATATATATATTATAAATAAAATATTTAAAAAATATATAATAAATTTTTTTCTAAAATTTTATAACACAAGAAGACATAACATCTCGTATATAACATGTAACAATTAAAATATTTTAAATTTCACTAGAAATTTTAATTTACTTAGTACTTACATAGAAATACATTTTATCCATCGAAATACATTAATACAAATACAACGAACAAAGCTATCTCTCTTTAATTGAAATACAATTAAAAGTATCGAAAAACATTTCGATTAATAGAATATATGCTTTTTTTAAGGCTAAAGAATTGTAATGCATGCTGTAAATACATTCCACTAGATAAAGTTGTGTAACGATTACTCGAATGTTCATTCAACGACGCCTTCGAGTCCAAGGACATCGAGTCTCGCGTAGCACGGCAACGCGTTCCCAAATAAAGGAAACCGATGATATCCTCTCGCCATTTTCCTTCGCATCACCTCGGCCCGTTTCGAACCGTTTCGTTCGTTGCCGACCCTCTCTCTGGATATAGCCAGGTGTATCGATCGTGCTTGGTCATAAGACTGAATTTCGTTTACTGTTGCAATTCTATTACGGTTGTTATTTTGCAACGATTTTAATTATATTTTAAATTTAAAGTTGAGAATGATAGATGCGTAAATTAATGAACTTGTCATAAAGTCATTAAAAAATATATTTTATCGTCGATATACTGACTTGTTAGGTGCAAATGACAAGCTTCATTATAGATTTTCATTGGTCTTAAAAATTTAATATGAACAGTTTTAATTACTTTTCATAATAATATCGCTGTTTCAAGATCTGGTTCGTTAACAGGAGGAATTTATGAATTCTTGTTTTCCAGTCAGTGCGATCAATTTGCAGTCTTCATTTTCAAAGTTTTATAATCTTTATATCATGTTAATTACTAATTTTAATTTGAAAAAGTAAAAAGGTATTCCAAATTTATATATTTAAACACAGGATGTTTAATTATAACAATTATAGTTATTATTTTTATTTACTGAAGTAATAAACTACATTTATGCGAATACATCTTTTATGAGATAGCATTTATTTTCCATATGTGTATTAAAAATTGTTTAAAATGTTAACATATTGTAATATATTCCATAGTTTTATTTTGTGTCATTAAAAATTACTATTACATGATCGTACATTTTATAAAAAAAAAAGTGGCGCTAACAATTCTCTTTTTTTCTTCCTTATTTTCTACTAAAAGTTCAATTGTCTTATCGCATTTTTGTTATCTTGCGATATATGTAATGTATGAGCGCATTCAATACTTGAATTCATTAAAGAAATTTTTTCTTCTAATTTTCAAAATAAAGACATAAAATATTTCTACTACAAAATATGTAAAAATATGACATAATACGTATGTTTTCCTGAAAAGTTTATTTTTAGCACATGTAATAATTTTTTTATTTAGAGATTATCTAATGTTTTTCTCGGCAAATTTTTTCCAGGCAATCCAAATAGTAAGATATCTTGACTTTTCTAGCTAACGTGTCTCTCCTGCCATAAACGGCGGTTCATTAAGTCAGTGGGACCCTCGGGACCGCTCGTGAATCAATTGCATCTGTGTCCGCTCGCTGGTTATGCAATGCTTAAGTGCAATACGCGGCGTACATACGTTTAGAATAACAGTACTATTTTTCGCGCTGCTTCCGGTAGGAATGCCGGCCACATCTATTCTGGAAAAAAGAGAGAAGCATAGATGTATATCGGGCAATAATTTCGGGCAATCACTGACTTGAGAGAAATCTGCGAGAGGATTTTAAAATGAGGGCAAACGAATCGCGATGCATAACCGTGCATATCGTTGCTTATGTTAATTGCACGGCCGTATCGCGGTTTTACGGTCATCATCTCTATATATAGCAGTGACATTGGTGACTCATATATCTCTAACATACATATCTCTATATACATATATTGCAGCCAGACCGACTTCGAGGGAGCAGGGGGAGGAGGAAGGGATAGGGTTGGGCGATCTTAGCTTTCGTCGATGCTCATATATGGTCACCGCTTAATACACCCATCGTTTTCACGTGGGACGTAGTCGGTATCGAACGGTAGGCGGACTTGACACTTTTGCGGTAACTTTCACGCAGATTGTATATGGACGTCGAGATTATTCAATGACAGTTTGGCGCGAGATAAAGTCTCACCAACATAGCAACGATAAAACTTTTCATCATTGATTATTTGCATGTTTGATTTTCACCTAATCGAATCATGAGTCTTATTTAAGAATATCTTCTTTAGGAAGCTCCATTAAAGAGATGTATAAAATATATTAAAATTAATAAATATTTTTTAAATGCATGATAGTGATTAACGAAATGCAATCTCTTAACTAAGGTAGTTCATATTTTACAATGAGATATATTTACAAAGTGTACGCTTAATTAGAATTTCAAGAGAATGAAACAATCTCTTCCGTCTTATCGCACGCGCGCGCGCGCGCGTACGGTTTTATAATTAGACACGGACAAATTGATAGAAACAGCGAATTTCCGTCATAGAGCGTCTGTATTGTGAGATTTTAAGAGACGAATCAAGTATCGTATAATTTAGTACCTTGTCACATAGTCGTTATAAAATCGTGCGATAATGTATTATATACATTCCCTGGACCTACGATAAGATTACATTGTACTCGAGTGGTTAAGGTGATATAATTAGTCTAGCCTTCCGTTATTTACACGCTTTTGTACTCGAAGATACACGCGTGCCTCTTTCACACGTTGATTTCCAGAAATATACCACGGGGTCTTTGAACCACGTTACCGGGATGGAATAGAGAGATGCATCGGGGACCGCATGCGGTGATTTCGTAATTAACGTTCCCTTTTGTTTGCAAATACAAAATTGCAATCGGATACACCCACTCCTCTCTCTCTCTCCCTCTTTCTCTCGCTCATGGAAATACTTGTAATTGTCTCTTTACGTTGTATCTTCGACTTGAAATTAATATTAATTACTTATTACCTGATATATCTCTCTTATAAGCACAGTATTAAATTATCAAATTGTTAAGAATTTATATAAATATTCAGTTTACATTATGAACTCTTGTTGCGACACTTTATAAATTGAGACACTTACGAGCGATTGACATTTCAGGATGAAAACGAGCGATTATGAGCGATTACCGTGACGAAACGAGGACTTCCGCGAGATTACGTGGCGAGTGACGGTCGCATCGCGATGAGCTTCGACGATCAACCAGCTCCGATATTAATGCAAACGAAGCTGCGTTTACGGTTATTAATTACCGGGCTAATTAGTCTCTATTATCGCTTGGGCAATTCGATCGAGAGGCAAGAGCTTGTTTTGAAGGAGGAAAAGGAAGAAATATAATTCGATGCGCAAGATCCTCGGACGTTTACGATTAATTACACGTGAGCTATTTGCCGCGCAATGCGAGGTTGTTGAACCGGCTCCGTTAACGCTCGATACAATGGAAGGCTGGAAACGGATGCGAGGATAATTGCGGAGAGAAAGCATTGCGGTGCGCAAAACTTCCTCCTCTCGTGCGCATGCGCGCGAATGATGCGAGAGTCAGAACGCGTATCTAATTTTTGAGATAGCGCTGATTCGTTCCGGCAGGGATAACACTTGCTAAACGAGGGAATACGCGATGCGCATATTTCCTTAATCGAACATCTTGCGATTGAGTTCCCTCGAATTCTCGAAACTTGGATATTATGTGATGGATGAAATTTAAAAAGAAATTTGGATATTTTAATGTTAAGATATTAAAATAACGATTGACGTGTAAAAGTAGATGTTTCTTGAAATTTTTGTAATGTATTAAAAGTCACACATTACGATGTGACAGGATAATATAATGCTATATTAATAAAAATATTTACTTTTATTCTAAGAGACAACACTTTTTTGCATTGCAGTTTTGGGAAATTATCAGCGACGAGCATGGCATTGACCCGACTGGCACCTATCATGGTGACTCTGACCTCCAACTGGAAAGAATCAACGTATACTACAATGAGGCATCGGGTGGCAAATACGTGCCCCGTGCCATCCTCGTCGACTTGGAACCTGGCACCATGGACTCTGTACGCTCGGGACCATTCGGTCAGATCTTTAGACCCGACAACTTCGTGTTCGGTCAAAGCGGTGCGGGCAACAACTGGGCAAAGGGTCATTACACCGAAGGCGCTGAATTGGTCGACTCGGTTCTCGATGTCGTAAGAAAAGAAGCTGAGAGTTGCGATTGTCTGCAAGGATTCCAGCTTACGCATTCCTTGGGCGGTGGTACTGGCTCCGGTATGGGTACCTTGCTCATTTCCAAGATCCGCGAGGAGTATCCAGATAGAATCATGAATACGTATTCCGTCGTGCCGTCACCCAAGGTATCCGATACGGTTGTCGAGCCGTACAACGCAACTCTTTCCGTGCACCAACTTGTTGAGAATACCGACGAAACTTACTGTATCGATAACGAGGCCCTTTACGATATCTGTTTCCGCACTCTGAAACTGTCGACGCCCACATACGGCGATTTGAACCATCTCGTTTCCCTCACGATGTCGGGCGTCACGACTTGTTTGAGGTTCCCCGGTCAGCTGAACGCCGATCTTAGAAAACTCGCCGTAAACATGGTGCCCTTCCCCCGTCTTCACTTCTTCATGCCCGGCTTCGCGCCCCTTACGTCTCGCGGTAGCCAACAGTACAGAGCACTCTCCGTACCGGAACTCACTCAACAGATGTTCGACGCCAAAAATATGATGGCTGCGTGTGATCCCAGGCATGGCAGATATCTCACAGTCGCTGCCATATTCCGTGGTAGGATGTCAATGAAGGAGGTTGACGAGCAAATGCTCAACATTCAAAACAAGAACAGCTCATACTTTGTCGAATGGATCCCGAATAACGTCAAGACTGCCGTCTGTGACATTCCACCACGCGGTCTCAAGATGTCTGCCACATTTATTGGCAATTCCACCGCCATCCAGGAATTGTTCAAGCGCATCTCCGAACAGTTCACCGCTATGTTTAGAAGAAAGGCTTTCCTTCACTGGTATACTGGTGAGGGTATGGACGAGATGGAATTCACCGAAGCTGAATCGAACATGAACGATTTGGTATCCGAGTACCAGCAGTACCAGGAGGCTACCGCGGACGAGGACGCCGAGTTCGACGAGGAGCAGGAAGCCGAGGTCGATGAGAACTAAAAGAAGACGTTATCTCGCAGCGATACTATCTCGTCCTTTCCCTATTCTCTCTTCTTCTCAATCGACCGAGCGATAACGCAACACAACCCTTCACCCACGCTTCTTGTCTCGTTATTTCTCTTTTGTATCTTTTTTTTTACGGATTTCTATTTTGAATTTTTGCGAAGTGCGCGCATTTTCAATTACCTTTATCGCACTTAGTGGAAGATTTAAGGAATTTTTTATTTTTGAATGTATATTTTTCTGTTTATTTCCAACTATTAATTTATACGTGCACCCTTATCATCCAGTGTATAACTGCTGAGAGCACGACTGCTCTATCATATTTGAATAAATTATTATCATATAAATCCGTCGATGCGCACTATTTCTTGATTATTACACAGACCTCTAGACTTAATATTATTGAGTTTTGTATTTTCGAAAATTTCATTATATATTTATATTTGTCTATTGTCATATGCAATTTTATACTTACGATGAATAGATGTGAATAAAAACTCATTAAATATTCGAGATGAGAGTATTGATTAGACAGTTATCTGATACATGTAAAAAATTAGAATGTAAAATTACAAATGATATCAATGCTTAAACAATATTCTTGTTAAATGAACATTGCAATTATCACGAAAGTGATATTAATTTACTTGAAATTTAATTAAAATGAAATGTATAATACAATATTAAGTTCCCAATATTTGTTTAATTTGTCTTGCCAATATTTAGTTTTCATAACAACATAATTTATAAGAATATGTTTATCAAAATTTATCTAAATTAACAATATACAGAATTATATAATCAAATTTATCTTTTGGCAAAAGAAATAAATTTAATTCGGAAGGCTTAAGTACTATATTGAATTTACTTGCCATTAGATTTAAATTCATATCGTACATTTATCAATGACACCTATTCTTATTGAAATAACGTGTTCGTGTGTATATCATAGATACACCTGTGTATGTGCTCAATATAAACTGATATGCGCAATATATATTTCGGAATAATTAGAAAAAGAGAGCCCTAAAAAAGTATATCTTCCTAATTTTTTCTGAGCACTACTTCTAATGCAAAAATTATAGAATTATTACAAGATCTATGATCTGAAACGTGTATTAAAGATTACATATTGAAGATTCATGATTACATATTGAAGATTCTGAAGATTAAAAGTTCGAATCTTTTTAATTATTACAGGGGATAAAGAAGTTAAAATTTCTTTGTCCTAATTAGTCAAATTTCTGTCTTATATTTGAATATCGACATTTTTTTATTAAGTGAAGTGCAAAAAAGTTTGCGTCGATGCTGAGGACTGCTATTTGCATACCTATTCGTCAAGTAAGTACTGCCATCTGCAACTATTTTAGGAGCTATGCAGAATTATGTAGCCATATTTTCATTTTTCGATACTGTCGATAAAATCATCGATTGATAAATGTTTGAACTGTATTAATAAATACTTTATATTATGAATATATTTATAAATTTCTAATTGTATATTTCGTTAACTGCGTGTGATATCTTTCTTAATTCTTGCTCGAACTTATTTACCTTATTTTGGTAATTTTATCTATTTCATATTTATCTGCTGTCTATTCTACACAACTTTTACATTATATATGAGCAATTTTTTCTATTATATATTAATTTTTATTAATTATATGTTTTCCAAAACACATTTTTATTGATACGTTCTTATTGACTTTGATGGTTCCAAACAAAACATTACGTTTAGGACGTTACATTTATAAAATCGACATGTGCTATCCTCGTTAAAATTGTTTAATTTATAAAAAATATGCTGCAAAATAAAAAAAACAGCATAAATGTTGATATATGCAAAAAAAAATGTTTTGATACATTTACATTGATAATGCAATATATACACTATAACGAATAGATGGATCGAGAGCATGCATGTTATTTTGCAGCACATATACATGCACGTATATATGCATGTTTATACATCCGTATATTTATACATATTGCTTATTCAAGTTAACGATTTTTCATCGTCAGATCAAAAAAATCGCTCGTCTGCATCTAGCTTATATAATATATATCTATATGTATATGAGTTCAATTTACTTTATTTTTTTTATAACATTATATTTCATATTATAAAAGTAATAATTGTTATGACGTAGTAATAGTTTATAATGTATTAAACACGCGTGCGTTATTTTTATTGTACACTTTTCCTATTATATTTTCTATTTAAATTGCAAAAAGAATTTTTCATTATAAAATCATGGTTTCGCGGTTTAACCAATAATTTTTCAAATTTTAAAGAAAAAAAAACATGATATCGCATGTCACAAACGATATCATGGTAGTTGAACATTTATTGTAAAAGTTTATTTAGTGTAACAAGCATGAAATTAAGCTTACATTTTGTTGAAGACATAACTTTCTTCTTTAACACATACATATTATACATATAATGTAATTTTGTGTGTGTTTGAAATAAGTTTTATGTAGGATTATATTTATTGCTACTGTAACAGTTTTCAAAAATAAAATATATAATATTCAAATAAGATGCAATAAATAATTGTCATATATTAGATAATTTTTTCAATATTAAAAGGATAATTTATGAATAAGGAAATTATAAAATATGTAAATATCTATACATCTCAACTCGTTCATTGTATCGATAATGATCTTTTATAAAAAACTATTAATTGAATGGAAAAGCATATATATAGCGCTAAGTGTATTCAAAAATTTATAATAGCTACTCATTGTAAAGTTAAATTATTAGATTAAAATTTCATCATGCTTAGCACCAAGTTGGATAAATTTAAGGAGATTTGATTTAAGATATTTAGTCTCTTTGTGTATATTGCCCATAAACTTTCGCAAAAATAGCTTCGAGAAGATTTTGAAATAATCGTTCGGTAAAATAATATTTTATTGAAGAAAGTCCCATGGAAATTTTTTTTATTATTTTTTATTATTTTTTTATTAACAATTTCCTTAGAAAGACTTAATATTGAAAGTTAATATTGAGATAAAGATGAAAGAATATGTTTCAAGAAAAAATTTTCCCTCTCTAAAAAAAATAATAATAATGTTTATTTTATTAAATTCACGTGTCTTTGCAGAGAAAGTTTCTCTCAAGATTATGTTTCTTTTCACACACCATTTTTTTGATATTAATTTCTTATAAACTTTGTTCTGGAAGCAATGATAGAATTGATTACTGCCAATGATGCAAAGTTTTCTGTAAGTTTTCTTTTTCGCAACGTGTCTTAATGATCTTGAGAAAAAGATTCCATTCCACGCGACCTGGCAACACAGTGTTACGTTAAAAAAGATTTCCTATCAGTAAAATGTACAGATGGAGTAGTCGACAAGAGTGTACTTGTGGTGATATGATCGAGAACTCATTTCATACGCATCATTCTATCGCGGATGACGGTTCTTTGATTTAACATTTCCTTCCTCATTGTGATAATATGATTGAGAATTCATTTCATACGCGTCATTCTATCGTGGGTGGCAGTTCGTTGATTTAATATTTCTCTCATCACCTGGTGAACATCTAACTACTCTGGTATCGATTTGACGGCGTCAAACTGACGGGCCAAAATAGCGCGTTAATGGGTCACCTTGTATAATTCTTAACTAAACATGTTTCTCATGAAATTACAAACATTCGTGTGCTTTTTGGACAGTCGATAGATATTCGAAGTCTTGTGAGTGACAAACAGTATGTTTTTCAACACGCTTAAACACGCATAATTTCGTTTATAGCAATCAAAGGATGAAATTCGATTGTTGCAATTACGAGCTTTTTGATTATTGCAAATTTTACAATCACTAAAGAGTTCGAGTGCGTAAAAATACAAAAACAGAAAGCAAAAATTACAACAATGTGTGTTAACTTGACAGTTATATGTAGTGATGTTTGATCGAAGATTAAACTTTATAGACGTTTAAACGACAAATAAATGTGTACGTGATTCCTCTATAGATACTTTTAGTTACAATTCTAATTATAATCTAAATAAAAATTATAACTTTTATTAAATTATAATTATAATTTTCCTGTAATACTTTATAATATCGGCAACGCGATATTATTGTATTCTTAATATAAACGAAAGCATCGTTACGAGGAAAGTTTATTTCGGTCGGACAACAAGAAACGAACGCAGACGAATTTGCCATTTCAAGAAATTGCCCTCGAAGGACTAATAAGAATGTTGTATTCATCGGAAAATTCAAATATTCAGATTACTTTTTAAGGTGCAAGTTAGAATCTGATTAAAGAATTAAGGATGTACGAATAATTATTGTCTCATTCGTGATTTCCTTCCATTGTCGGAAAAGATTGTACGAGAAGAAAATTCGAGCGCACCCAGCGCAATTGGGTAACCCATTAACATCCATTAGCAGATTTATTGACTCGATACGGGTTTATCAAGAGTCGGAGCGTCTCTTTATTTCCGTGCGCGATATACTTCGAGACATGATATCAGAATGTGCATACGTGAAAGGAATTGTCACGCTGTCATCACGATGAATCGAATGGACGTGTGATACCATCGCGTGAACTTTCGTTATGGAGACATCGGGGGAGGATGAGAACGAGACACTCGATTTCTGGCGAGATTGGGATCTGAGCAATCTGACTGAAACCGAGTATCTGAATAAGGTGCTGGGACCCAGGTACTTGCCTCTGAGATTAGTGATACCTCTTACGATCGCCTACCTGCTGATCTTTGTCGCTGGCGTCTTCGGTAACATCGTCACATGCACGGTCATCGTTCGAAATGCGTCCATGCAGACAGCCACAAATTACTATCTTTTCAGTCTGGCTATATCTGATCTCACTCTACTTATGCTGGGTAAGCGAATAAATGACGAATGCATGAAGATCGCACTTATTCAGGATTTCTTCCATTATTATAGATTATTATTTACTTCATATTCACTTTCATTAATTTATCAATAAAAATATTTAAAAATGTCACATCAATCGCAGCTTGAATTTATCAGGCTAATGAATTTATCAGGCTAGCAAGAAATTGCAGAGATTTATATAAATTTAAATTTAATTAGTAATAAATAAAAATTGTTGAAAAATTTATATACAAATATTGTTAATATTCTAAATAAATTGCAAATAAAATTAAGTCCCAATAAATAAAATCAGATTTATATATTTTCTTTTCATAGAAAGGAGACATTTTGTATCTTAATAACAAAAAAAATTAAATGACATTGGATATCACAAACTCAACAGTTTCACTAATAATTAAATACAAGCTAAATACAGAGCTTATTTTTATAATAGTAATAATAAAATAATATTAAAAGCCATCTGCAAATTCTTTAATACAAAACATTCTTTAATAAAATTCTTTAATAAAATTTTATAATAAAAAGACATCTGCAAATTCTTTAATCAAAAAATGTTAAACCTTAACTTGAAATATAGAAAATACGTAAGGTATTTGCTATTTTTTACCTTTATTGTCATTTAAATGAAGTATTTTAGATATACATTGGCTAAACGTGAGATTTTTGCCATGGTTTGCTAAATCTCTCTTCCTTTATTCTGAAAACGGCAGATAATATAAATGCAGGATTTAACGAAACATGTGGTTTAAAGCTATTTCGCAATTCACATGCCGCTTTGTTCATGTTCCATACATACATTTTTTAATTCGCACAAATTATGTACAATTTTTCATATATATATATATATATATATATATATATATATACATATATTTTATATATCCGCGGGCATATATAATACTATATAAAAAATCTCTCTTTTAAAAAGGGAGAGAGGAAGCAATTGTAATTGTGAATTGATACAAAGCAGTTTCGATGACCGAATCGCCTCTGGCTGATAAATCAACGACTCGTTAGCTATCGATGATATTTTGCTGGTTGATAATATGATTTCGATAATTGCTAAAGCTATTGATAACGATAATCGGATTATTCTCGTTTGGATAACATGGAATAATAGATAAAAAAAGTCATGAGAAAAAATCGGTTTGTAAAATACATATATTCGGGCTATTATCGACAGTATGCGAAAAGACTTTAATAATGAATGACATCGAATTCAGTCGGAGAAACAAATTCGTTCAGAATTAAAGCTGATGTAACGACAATATAAAACAATTCCTTTAATGTAACGATAAATAACATATCTGATATATCTATATCTATATCTCGCGTGCTTCTTCATGCACTTTTTTGATTGCTTTTTTACATAGAGTTCGACGAAAAATATTGATGACACTGATAAAAAGCATTGCAACTGAAAAAATTGCATTTTTTTTCAGTAAAAGTAATATTTTAGCTACATGGTATATCAACAAAAATAACACTGTATGAAGATTACCGAAAGTATTATAAAAAATACGATTACAATCATTTTCATCAATGCATTCACTGTTTATTCGTCATTTACTGATATATTTCGTATTTAGGTATTTTATATCTTTTAATCGCACTAATTTGATCGCTTTAATAGCTATGTTTATTTATGTCGAAAAATATGCAAACAATGTAAAGTTTACATAAGGTAATTTTTCTTTCTCTCTCTCTTCTTTTTTTCTCTTTCTCTTTTTCTCTCTGGAGGATAAATAAAATTAATTATTTTATATTATCTGTTGTGTATTATCACTATCATGATTGCTTGACACAAGATATTCACTTGTCTTCATAGCATTGACGCACGTAGATAAAAGCGTGAAATTAATCTCATTTTATGTGTACAATCGCGATTGTTATCTGTATAGTAGTCTTGTTTGCTGATGGTAACAACAACGTATTTACGTCACTATGAGAAATTTGCAAGACTTATTGTTAGATACGATAACGAAATTTTTCATGAAAGATATAGGGTACTCTCTTCGTTATTTCAAATATCAATGTAATATATGAAAAAAGCCAGTGCTTTAAGCCAGTCTATTATATGATATATAAAAGCCAATGCTTAAGCCAGTCTATTATATGATATATAAAATAATTCAAACATATGAATAATATAGAAGAATCAATAGAATTTAGTACTTAAAATAAAGAAAGAGAGAGAAAGAAATTTGTATTTAAGTAAATATATAAAGTAAAAATATGTGCATTTTAATTCCTATAAAAACAAATTGAAGCTAATCTACAGTTCGTTCAAATTTAAATATATTCTTTGTAGAAGAAATATGATTTTTGTCCGAAATCAATCGAGTATCAAAATAAATTCACGAATAATTTAATTACGAATTAGTTGCTAGTCGATGACGTGATATACGAGACAGAAACAAGAAAAATTGAAACAATTGTGCGCGTCCGTAGAATTGGCAAGTAAAACGGTTGTAATGCAATATAAGGCTTTGCAGTTTGACGTTTATACCAGCATCGCTTTAGAAAATGTTAGACACAATAGAGACGATCGAGAGGCTTCCATCCAGAATGAGAAAGCTTTATCGTTAACGATACGTTCAACTTCTGATGGTGAGAACTGAACCTTGCTGGTTTTGATGTCCATTGTGGAGCTTTATAAAAGGACAACTATACGCCGGACGACTACCGGATAACTTTTACGCTTTAGAAAATGACTGAAAGATATAAAATTTGCATATTGTGACGAAAAAAGTTGAGAAAAGAGAAAAGGAAATACTCTTGGCATTATTAACAGTATTACATATCTGACTTTCAACTTACTTCTTGTAAGATTATTCTCTCAAAAGATATAAGAATTTATAGCGCCTTCCCTCTCTGCTTTATTTAGTTTCATGTTCAGTTTTACGACTCTTGTTAGGAGAATGATTTTAATGAGAGATGCAAAAACGCGTCAGTCAAGACAATTAATGTAAATCAAATTACATATAAATAATTGTAATAAAACTATAAATAAAATAAATTTACGAAACTTTTTACATTGTTTTTTTTCTTTCATTTCCTCTTCAATATCTTTGATTTCAATTATTTACAGATATAACTTATAAAGTAATTATAATTTAAATTGATTTTAATTGACATTTAAATTGTTAAATTGTTACAACGAAACCGAGGTAAAAGAAATTATTGAGCAAAAAACAGTAAAAAGTAGAGAGGCAAAAGAAGTAGAAAGTAGAGGTCTATTAACAAATGTAGTGATATCAGATTGTGCTTATCGATCGTTAAAAAGCGCAGCACGTAGTTTCGTTATATACATCGCATTTTGTATTCATTAATTAAAATACAAACATTTGAATGACTCTTATTGAGTTTATTCGACTCATAATGATACGTGATGAATATTCAGTTCGTTGTCGCGATGGATGTAATTCGTGAAACTTTAACTTGCGCATATAAAGCGTAAAAAGGCGCAACCTCTCGTTAATTTTGTTATGCTATGTGTACGATATGTACCTTCACGCTAATTAACAACCGGGCTCAAGTTAGTCGTAAATCTGTTTATGGGAAAATTAATTTACGTTTTCGCAAGCCTATGCGAAACATTTTATTCAAAGAAATATGAGACTCGAATGCCGACCTGTACTAATGTAGTTGAGAATGTAGAGAGATGAAAACGAGAATCTTAATTTTGTGTTCTAAATTTTACAAAAAGAGCTAAGAACTAAGAGTTTCATCAGTAAAATTACAAGGCATTCTGTACAGGCTTTTTTGCATATTGCAAGAAAATTCCTTTAATAAAATACAATATAAAAATTGAATTTGATTTCAATTCAAGGCGCTTATAATTGCATGTTCTCAATTATCTAGATTAATTAATCACTGATCCCAAATTAATGACTTTATTACAGATTCTTTGAACAATTATAAATTGATTTTCGCTAATCGTTTTATCGAAAATAGAAACGTAAATACTCTTGGACGATTCTTCCCTTAATCTATTAATTTATTAATTAATCATTACAGGTCTTCCCAATGAGTTGAGTGTATTTTGGCAGCAATATCCGTGGGCTCTGGGTGCGGGACTTTGCAAGATACGAGCATATGTGTCGGAGATGTAAGAAATATCTATATATACCTTTCCTATAACTCTCTTAGAGATCTGTGACATGTTTTTCTAAATCCCAGCGACTCTTCTCTTAGGTCGTCTTATGTGTCAGTTCTCACGATCGTAGCATTCTCTATGGAGAGGTATTTGGCCATCTGTCATCCGTTGCGCGTATATTCGATGAGCGGTCTCAAAAGACCAACACGCTTCATCCTTGCGGCCTGGTCGATCGCGATGATCTCGGCAATACCATTTGCTATTTATACCAAGGTCAATTTCGTCGAATATCCGCCAGGTTAAGCTGATATATTTCTTTGCGAGATTCTCGAGACGTCGCGCGAATAAACGCGAATAACGCTTGATCAATAACTTATATAGATTGTACATTTTTTCTAATTGTGGATGCATAAATTTCCTATTTTACTTGAATTATAATTATTTGTTAAGAATTTTTTAAGCTTTCGTTATCGAAATTTTTTCTTCTTCTACAATTTTCTTTCTTGTGTATAAAACAAAATTGAAATTTTATAATAGGAACTGATTTATTAGTTTAGTTATTGTCTGATTATATTTACACTATGCAATTTTTATAATATTTTTTATGAATTTTTTTGCAAATTGCTATATGATATCATTAAATACTTTTTCAGGATCCGGGAATTATTCGGCTGATTCGGCAATTTGCGCGATGCTTCTGCCCGATATGCCAAAATTTCCGCTTTACGAACTCAGTTCTATCGTATTCTTTTTGATACCGATGTTCATAATCCTTGTAGTATATACGAGAATGGGACTAAAAATTAAGAGCAGTACCAAAAAAATGCTTGGTCCAATACAAGGCTTTGTTCATGGTGATTCTCGACAGACTCAATCCAGAAAATCTGTCATCAGGATGTTGAGTACGTGACGTACGATGCCGTTATCATTTTTACTTGCCTTTTAATAATTAAATTACAATAATAATTAAAAAATTAACAAATAAATATAACATTATTAAATATGGGTTAAAAAGTGAATTGAAACCAGTGTATTTTCAGTGTCAATATTCTATTACTTCTTTTTTAATTTTTAACATTAAAAATCTTCATATAAAAAATGTATATATTTAAAGTGCAAAATTTTCTATATTTGATTTATTTCAGGCGCGGTCGTTATCATGTTCTTCCTCTGTTGGGCTCCATTTCACGCCCAACGTCTGCTTTACATTTACGCACAAGATTCTGATTATTATCCAGATTTAAACGAATGGCTGTATATTCTTAGTGGATGTCTGTATTATTTCAGCACCACTGTCAATCCTATTCTCTATAATTTAATGAGCATCCGATATCGCCAGGCGTTCAAACAAACGATATGCTGCAGAACAAAGAGACCAACGAATAAAATCTTAATGGATAAAGGATCTCATTTGCGTAGACGTAATTCTGTGAACAAAATTCGCGATCGAAGCGTCATGTACTCTATTAGGTACGGAGGTTTGAAATTTTTGAATGCCACTTTGAAGCTAGTGAATTTATAAATGATATATAATTAAAAATATTTTTTCCATGAGAATATTTTTTATGTTAGTAATATAACAAATTTTAATATTAAATGTTTATATGTGTATATATATATATATATATATATATATATATATATAAAATAGAGAAAACATCATGTTAAAGTCTTGATATATGTTTTATGTACGCACGGAGTGTACGTAGTGCATTATATTATAAGTGCATTATATTATAATAGTTTTATATTTTTCTTTCAGACATAGCATGGCTCAAGTCAAAGAGATATTCTGTTTTATACCGAACAGACAGGAAAATACCAAGAATAGAAATAGCGAAAATACAAGCAGTTTTCCTCAAAATGCTTACTTGTTACAAAAGAAAGATTCATCTTCGATATTTCTCTTTGAACGAGGACATTTACTCGTTCACCAACAACCTAGCAACGAAAGCACAACGTCTACGAAAAGATCAGAAGATACGATTTCCATAGCTAAAACCAATTTGTGATTTATCTTCATTTTCTGTATTTGTAAACCAAATAGCGCGCAACATTGTAAATAATTTGTTTGAACTATTGATTATATAAACATTAAAAGAATTTTACAGCATTGTATAACATTGTAAATAACTAATCAATTATAATATGATACTAAAATTTTATATTATTTATTCTAGATTAAATTTTTACACATCATGTCTGGTATTTATTTATTTTACAAGTATAAAATGTTATGCAATTTTGAAAAATGTCTGTAATGTATGTACATATATATATATAAATATTTCAAATTTTAATGTGAGGATAGTAATTTTTATTTGTGATACTGTCATGTTCGTATAAAAATTTTATAACGCGTTATATCATATTCGCAATATTTAATAAAGATGAATTCATAGTGGTTTAAGTAAATCTTTAATAACTCTCATATAAGCTCCAATTTATCAGCAGTGATATCATCAATTTATTTTTATTTAATTGATTTTTACATATAGTTATAACATATACATATAGTTATAGATATAAAGTTTTTTTTTATGTACATGAAATATTATTCTTCAAAAAGAAAGAAAAAATTTAATAATGACATTATAATTAATAATGACACTATCAAGAATACTGTACAATTAATATTCCTGTGAGAATCCACATCATTTATATAAAACTTTTTCTTTACATATTAATATATTAATTGAATCTAATTGAATAAGTTTTACGAGATATATGCAGCAATTTTCCTGCTTTATATTAAAATGACTATGTACTTATTTCGTTTTAAGTGAGATATGTTTTAAATGCATAATAAATACTTTTCTGTTCTTCTCTTCTCGATCAATAAGAACTGAAAGAATATTCAATGCACATTTGCACGTTCAGCTTCATAGCTTTTAAATCTCAAGCGAATGGTAAATGTGTTTGTGTATTTGCATGTGAGATGATCTCTGTGCAAAGCAACTTAAAGTACGAAAAGCGAGATAAACTAGCATAATCCATTCTTGTCGTCTATATTCGAAAAATAATTTATATTTCACAAAAATAATTTATATATATAAAGCAAAAGTTCCTTAAAACATTTTTGCCTAGATTTTTAATATTATCTGACACTCCAAAAAACTTGAATTTTATTAAATTTAATCGAAATGATTATTATAAATATAACCAAAGCATTTGGATAATGGATCATTTTGAATATTACAATATTAAGATTTATCATACATACATATTGTGCATTTTTGGGTAATTATTTAAATTAACGGGCATCTCACCGATGACTTTGACCTTTACATATGTTGTAGGGGTGAAAATGCTGATTAATTATTCTCTTTGTTTATTTGGCAGTCTCTTATAATTTGAAATATTTAATAAAAAAGGTATAGTGATTAAAACATAATTTTTTGACACCATATACATTTTATTACAGCCAAATAAAACTTAGAGAAAAATTAATCAGCATCTTCATCTCTATAACATATATAAAGATCAAAGTCATCGGCGAGATATCTGTTAATTTAAATAATTACCAAATTCTTTTTTGAATATAAACTTATGAAAATAAAAAAATTCTAATTTTTTATACATAAAATATCTAAATAATATATTGTGAAGCAGTTTATAATATATTACTACCTGTATAAAGGTATTAATTAATACGAGAACATTTTATTATAGACATTTTAAGTATATTAAAATAAAATCCAGAATATTTTATATATATGTTATACTAATGTATTTTATGTTATACTAATATAATTTAAAAATTTAAATAATTTAGATAATTTAGAATGACAGAGAAAGAGAGAGAGAGAGAGAGAGAGAGAGAAAGAGAGAGAGAAAATGAAAAAAGGACAAGCAATATGTAATATGATTTAAATATAAATGATATATATAAATCTAATATAAATAATATATATAATATATTCTGAATATAAATGATAAATAATTTACAAATTACTTACCGCATATTGTTGCTGCGTACGTTGCCCAGTGCTTTTTCAGACTTACTTTCTCTCTCCATTGCTATTTCTTCGTTGCACACACATTCACTCCCGAAAACAAGATTAATTAACCCTCCTACGCAAGAGTTTTCCCTGACTTGAACGTTACCGATATGCACGAGTTTTTTAGAAAGGGTTGCAAGTAAACGCGATCATTTTCTAAAGGTTTCTGGGATCATAGATTACGAATCTGAAATCAGAAAAGACCGTAATTACGGTTTTTTTAAATCGTGTACTTGATCGCCATATTGGATCCGCTATTTTGAACTTTGAGATTCTGACTTCAGAATCGTAATCAATGACCCTAAAAACCTCTAAGCAAAAGTATCTAGACCGATTTGACTACTTTTAGGGCACTTTTGTAAAGATGAAAAATTGGAAAATTATTACATGAATTTTCTCTTTTTTTTCAATTTTCAATCCAAATTTTTATAATAATATATGCAAAATTCGATACCGCAACTCGATCCCTCTTAAAATGCCAGTCAAGCTTTAATTTGCGAGGTCGCAAGCCTCTTTAAATGATTTCGTTCAGGAATTAGCAAAGAAAATATTTGGACAAATATACTCGTCATCGCGCATACGGGAACAACTCAGTTTGGACGAATATACTCGGGATAATGCGCATGAGGATTAAAGTTAATTATATACGCAAGTTAATTATATACGATCCTGAGACACGGCACTCCCGATCGCTTAATAATTACAATTAACAGTTTAGTAAATATTAATTATAATTATCATAGCGAATTATATTTCAATACTAGTCGCGATTGCGTTTTATTGTTAGAAAGAAAACTTGACAATATACGAAGTATTTCGCACCTTACTCCTCGAATGTTACCGTGCGAATGATATCAAAGCCGTGACATGTAAACATAGCGCGTCATAACCGCCAAGGCTGAAAGGGTGTTATTGTCCGTCCTACTTTAATATTTCGTGTATACGTTAAAGTACGCCAAATATTTCGGCAATGAATGAATAATAACACGTTCAGCCTTGGCGGCGTATGACGCGTGTGTTTATATGTCATAGCCTTGGTACTCGGTTCTTGGTCATTCGCATGGCGACATTCGAGGAGTAAGGTACGAAATACTTCGTATATTGTCAAATTTTCTCTTTAACAATAAAACGCAATCGCGACTAGTATTGAAATATAATTCGCTACGATAATTATAATTAATACTTGCTAAACTTTTAATTGTAATTATTACGCGATCGGGAGTGTCGTGCAAAGTGTCTCACGATCGTTGTGTACATAATTAACTTTAATTAATCTTGTTTTCGGGAGTGAATTTGAGTGCAACGAAAAAATCACAAAGAAAAAAGAAAACAAGTCTAAGAAAGCACTGGGCAACGTACGGAGCAACAATATGCGGTAAGTAATTTATAAATTATTTATCATTTATATTCAGAATATATTATATATATCATTTAGATTAGATTTATATATATTATTTATATTTAGATCATATTGCTTGTCCTTTTTTCATTTTCTCTCTCTCTCTCTTTCTCTTTCTCTGTCATTCAAAATTATATGAATTAGTTAAATTTTTAAATTATGTTAGTATAACATAAAATACATTAGTATAATATATATATAAAATATTCTGGATTTTATTGTAATATATTTAAATATCTATAATAAAATTTTCTCGTATTATTTAATACTTTTATATAGATAATATTTTATAGATAATATATTTGTCAGTATTTATTAAAGGAGATAAGAGTCGTTTTATTAAATCTTGCGCGAAAAATGTCTATCGATATCTTTAGCATTGATATCAAAAACTTTCTTCAAGCACAAGAAAGTAATTTGTAGAACAAAATGTTATTTGTTCACATTCTGATTTTTGAAAAATACCTTGATCATTATTTGACAACCATTATAGATATTATAGATATTATAGATATTATTATTATATAGATATTATAACAAAAAGTAATTAAGCTCTCTGTAAATTCAAAATTAAAGTGATCAAGTAGGCGTAGAGAGCTAAAGACCAAAATCAATAATACAGATTAGTTAAAGAATATATATATTAATAAATCATAATTACAACTCAAAAAAATCAGATATAATATATAGATATTTAAGATATGTGCGGACGTTTCGATTATTTTTAAGTCATCTTCAGCGCAAAGTTTGTATCAAAAATAGAGCATTTCATAAAAAAGTTCGCAGAGAAAGTACGCAGTAAAAATATACGCAGAAAGAATATAAACTAATACTAATCTAGATATTATAGTCTCGAAGTTTTATTAATATTTGATCACAAAAATTTTCTGATAAAAATTTTATATATATATATATATAATATATATATATATATATATATATATATATGACATTAATTAAATGTAAATAATATAAATAATTTAATAATTATTTTTTAAACAATTACATAAGCAGGAAGAAGGAAAGAATTAAATTAAAATTTTACGAAAGATTTAAAAAACTTGATTTTAAACTCTGAGAAAAATTTTTTTCCAAAAAGATACATCTTATAATCTCATGTTATCACATGTAATGTACATATAATATACTAATTATTTTGTAATATTTTCATTTAAAATTTAAGATTAAAAAAAGAATTCTTAATAAACTTTCTGTTAAAGTTTTTTTTCTCAAATTTATTTTCAGAAATATTGTAAACATTTTGTCAACAAATACTGTAAAAAAATATTTTGAAAAAAATTGTATCAAAGTTTCTTGAAAAATTCTATTTCTACTTCAAGTAATATAATTCTCCACAAAAACACAAAATAAAATAATAAAATTAAAAAATAAAATTAAAACTATAAAATTTAGTTCTCTCAAGTTATAAAATGAATCGCTTGCTGTGAATTATTTGCGATAACAGAAATGTCAAGCTCATGCATGCGATTGCTATTGATTTCGTCTTGGAAAAACGTCTATCTTTCTATATCAGTTGCAAGATGTGTGTCACAGACGATGATTTTTATGCTTGCACAATGACATTCGCAGCATCCACTACATCTTATATAAATATTAAGCAAAGAAATTCTCATAGAATATGCCAAGCTTTAAAAAATTCTGAAAATTTCGGAAATAACGTAACAATAAAAATTATGAACTAAAGAGCTTCTAATGTTTGTTAAATATTCTATGA